GTGAGCTCGGCCTTGATGCGGGGCGTGGGGGCTGCCAGGTCCCAGATGGAGAGGGTGCTGGCCTCCCCCCCCACAATCAGGCTGCGGCCGTCGGGCAGCAGCTTGCAGGAGCGGATGTAGTTGTCGCGGTTCTGAATTGATTACAGGGAACAGTTGAGGGAAGGAGGAGCTTATCAGTGCAGGGAGTTGTGGGAGATAGATCTCCTTATCACAGGCGTGAAAGGACCCTCTGTTGCCCTCCATTGTAACAGGGGCACATTCCCCTCTCCAGCCCCCACAAATTGCCTTTCAGTTCCTCCTCCTTACCAAGCAGTCCAGCTGAGCCACGGCCGTCTTGGTGCCCGGCTGCCCCACGTCCCACACCTTCACACAGCCCTTGCCCCCAGTGTAGACGTGTCGTGTGGAGTTGCTGATGGTGACGGCGCAGACCACCTCGCCGTGGCTCAGGGTGTGGAGCTGCCGCGCGTGGCGGGGGATGCCGGAGCCGATCAGGGCATCGGGTGGGAAAGGCACCGGCTGCATCTGCCCGTCGGCGCTGACGTGGAACGAGTAGGCACTGGAAGAAGAGAGGAACAATCCCTGTGTGATGCCCGAGTGCTGGATTCAGCCTTTCCCATTAGCCATGATGAAGCCAAGTGGAAGATGTCTGGAGCACTCTGGCTAATGAGGGATAGAATTAATTGGCTCCTTGCTACCATCAGCTGCCAGAACAAAACTGAGTTGGACTCAGAACTGGAGAGAAACTCCAACCAGGCCCTGCCCTACCTCTACTGGGTGTAGAAATAAGCTTCAGGGCGGAAGACACGCCCACCCCCCCCCCCGCCCACCCTGTGCTGCCCAGCTTGGCTCCTTGCTACCCCTGCCTGCTGCCACACTCACGGTTTCCCTCCAGGGACAGTGGAGAGTGAGGAAGAGATGGTGGAAGTCCTCAGGTGAGGGTGTGACTCAAAAGCCACCTGCACAAAGCAAAGGACACATGATGAGTGAAGTCCCAAACCCTGGGAGGGGGACATAAGAGCTGGGCTTTTGCCTTTCCTGCACACCTTGGGATGGGGCCAGCCCAGCTCTGTGAAAGGTCCCTGCTTGCTGCTTCCTCCACATGCACATGACAAAGACCAAAACAGGCCAGACCCAGCTGCACCCCAGTCAGACCAGGGAGCAGTTCTCAGAGAGCACTGCAGCCTCTACTGGCCCCACAGCCCAGACACTCCAGAAGGGAGTCCTTCCCCCAGCTGCAGCTCCCCCAGCTTGATCTCAGTGCAGCAGTGAAGACACTGCACGTCAGGGTGTGTGCATGTCTAGGACAGCAGGGCACAGTCAGCAGAGCCCACATGTGCCAACACACAGGGCCTGTCCCTTGGCCACTCACCATCGGGGACTGGCCGTACAGCACGGCACTGCTGACCTGTGGCGAGAGGTGGATGCCCAGGTACGTGCTGGGGGCTGGGAGCTCCCCACTGAGGGTGGCATGAGGCACCATCCCAAAGGAAGATGAGTAGAGGCTGGACACACTCAGCAGGCTGCGGAGAGCTGCACGAGGAGACACCTGCTCAGCAGTCCTGGCCAGCAGGTGTGAGCAAGCATCACCTGAGGGAAAAGTGTCTGGCAGAAGCCATCAGCATGAGCCAGAAGAGCAGGAGGAAGGCAGGCAGGTTATGGATTGGATGAGGGGCAGCCCCTGAGCCCCATCAGTCTGGAAGCTGGGCTGCAGCTCCAGCACAGATCAAATGGCTCCATTCCTCCCTCTGAAGGATGCACCACAGACCAGCCGCTATCCCACAGCAACCCTCATTTCCACTGCCAACGCCTTTGCAGTCTTGGCCAGGCCAAATTGCAGTTGATGGCTATGTGGCTCTACCTCCAGGGTTTCAATGGTTTATTGAAATCAATTCCAATTCAATTTTTGCTAAACCACTGTAATTTTCTAGCCAGACAAGGGTTTAACGTCCCCAGTCCTGGGTATATTTCTCCCTTGGGCCATCCTCCTCCAATCACCTTCTGGTCCCTTTGGCTAGAGAGCAGCCAAGCTGTTTCAGAGACCTTTTCCCAAGGCTTCCCTAAATGTCTTCAAGGAAACTGGGGCAGGAAAAGGGGGCACGACCAGTTCACCATCAACCACCACAGCAGCCACTACCGACTGCTGTCCTCACCCCAGTCCTGGTGCCTCCGCAGCAGAGCACGACCCCCGCTGTCCCTGAGCACTCACCGATGATGTCGGTGGGCGGTGCCTTTGCCGGGGGCTGCCGGAGCAGGGCAGCCGAGCTGGGCCCGGAGCTGGGGACGAGGGAGTCGGGGGGTGGCGAGGCAGCGGTGGGCTGGTCAGGGGGAGTGCTGGCTGGAGGGTCGGTCTGTTCGGCAGAGGGAAGAGCAGCCTCAGGGGGGGGCAGCCCCAAAGCGATGGCAGCAGCCCCAGACCACCCAGGCAGGGCAGGGCACCAAGAGGCACCACTCACAGATGGGCACTTGGGGTCCTGGGCCCCAGCCCTGCCGGCCATCCTCCTCCAATCACCTTCTGGTCCCTTTGGCTAGAGAGCAGCCAAGCTGTTTCAGAGACCTTTTCCCAAGGCTTCCCTAAATGTCTTCAAGGAAACTGGGGCAGGAAAAGGGGGCACGACCAGTTCACCATCAACCACCACAGCAGCCACTACCGACTGCTCTCCTCACCCCAGTCCTGGTGCCTCCGCAGCAGAGCACGACCCCCGCTGTCCCTGAGCACTCACCGATGATGTCGGTGGGCGGTGCCTTTGCCGGGGGCTGCCGGAGCAGGGCAGCCGAGCTGGGCCCGGAGCTGGGGACGAGGGAGTCGGGGGGTGGCGAGGCAGCGGTGGGCTGGTCAGGGGGAGTGCTGGCTGGAGGGTCGGTCTGTTCGGCAGAGGGAAGAGCAGCCTCAGGGGGGGGCAGCCCCAAAGCGATGGCAGCAGCCCCAGACCACCCAGGCAGGGCAGGGCACCAAGAGGCACCACTCACAGATGGGCACTTGGGGTCCTGGGCCCCAGCCCTGCCGGTTCCCTGCTTTGCCCCTGGCGCCCTTCCCACCTGGAAGCAGCCCCATGTCTCCACTTCCCTCCTCAGGCATGAACACACAGCGAGAGCCCCACATCACCCCAAACTGCTGCAATCCTGCACCCCTGCAGCACCCTGCGCCTGGCATGAGGCCCCCAGAGACATCACAGAGGGATCTGCTGCTCCCTCCTGTGAAACCCCTCTTGTGACAGGGGCACCCCCAGCCCCACCCTGACCCAGCAGGACTGGGAGGACACCTGGGATGAACCAGCCTCTTCGATCCCCACAGTTATTTCATTCATTTCTTTTTTTCTTGCCTCTCCTATTTCTTCCTCTTTTCTGCCTGGGGATTTTGCCGACACCAGCAAAGGGAAAAAAAAATTAATAACAGAGAAAAGCTCCGTGCTGCGCTGGCAGATTGCTCGGGGCGCTTTGTCTGCTCTAATCCGATTGTGCCGGGAGCCGCTGCTGCTGCTCCCTGCGGCCCCCAGCTGGCTCCTGACCCCGGGATGGTGGGATGCGTCGCCTGGGTCTCTGCAGTGGCTGCGAGGAATGAGGAGTGGCAGAAATATCCCTCCCCCTTCCCGCACATTGATGTTTCAATCTAAGCATTGGGCTGGTGCTTGGCAAGGAGGAAGGGGGGAGGCTTAGGGTGAGGGAAAAGAAAAATCGATTGCTATGAGCAGCTCTGGGGAATCCTGCAGGCAGCCAGATGGAAAATACCTGCAGAGCCATGCCTGGCAGATGATTAGCTTCTCTCCCAGGGCATGGACCTCTGCTCCCAGTGCTGGGAACCCAACCCTAAGCACTGACATCTCCTCACTCACCTTCAAACTGCACAGACGGGCCGCAGAGAAACTCGGGGCAACATCCACAGCCCCACTGCCCACCCATGGCCAGGGCTGCCCCCATCTGCCTACCAGACTCTGGTCCTTCGGCTTGAGGGGTGTGGTGCTCCGGCTGGAGGTGATGGAGGCAGGGCTCTCCGGTATCTCCCGGCCAGCTGGCAGCAGCTGGCTGCTGGCTGTGTGGCTGGGGCTGCCTGGCTCCGAGGGAGGGTCCTGGGGAAAAAAAGAGGTCTCTGCAGAGTGAGAACCCCAGTCCCTCTGCGCAGAAGGGTAAGAATGACAGGCCCCAGGGAGCTGTCCCTAAGCCTGGAGCCCAGTAGGGACCAACAAGCCCCAGTCTGCTCCCCCCTGCCTGCAGGGAGAGCTGCTCATCCAGCCAGTCACTGTCCCATGTCTGCCTGAGTGGAATAATGAGGAGAATTTGCTTACAGGCCTCAGCTCTGCTCCACAGTCCTCTGGATGAGAAACCTCATGATTTTCCTTTGAATAAAATTAGAGGTGACAGCAGATTCAGAGGACACTGGTGGCCACAGGTGCCTTCACAAGGAGGGATGGTGACCAGCACACCCAAGGAACAGAGAAAGTGCCTCTTGGCAGTGCCTCAATAGTATTTCAGAGGCAAGGCCACCATCAGCTCTTGCACTATAACCACTCAATTAGGGCTGTGATTTTTATCACCATAATTACATCAATGAGAAGTTTTTATAAGTGTCACTTCCTGCAGAAATCCCTGCTGATGTTCCTTCCAGGGCTTGTATTTTCTTAGGAAATGGCAGGAGGGGGAAAAAAAAAAAAGTGTCTTGTCCCTTCCCCAAGTCTTCTAGGGGAGGAAAAGGGATGTCCCCAGAAACATTATCTCTGCCAAGAATAGCTGGGCTGGGATAAAGCACTGTTGTATCCACCTTGGTGGTCAGGGAAGGTTGTAACAGAAGTACCTGGCAGTTTGGTTGCAACAGACTGAGATTCCGTGTGCCCCCCACACTGACACCCCAACACAGCCTCAGGGTGTGAAGTCCCAGCTGCTCCATGGCCAGCACAAGACCCTGAGAGGGGGCTGGTGGCACTCAGGGGCATGCTGCGAGATATGCTGCCTGCTCCAGCCACCTCTGCCTGCCTTAGCTGCAGCAGAAAGCCTGGATCCCTGGGCTCTCATCCCAGTTTATCAGCCTCCCCACATGGGATGCTGCAGGAGAGGGGATGAAACAGGATTGTGAAGCAGAGCCAAGTCTCCAGCTGGCAAAGCTGAGCCCTAGCTGGCACAACCTTCAGCCTGGAGCACTGCAATCAGATCGGCCTTGGCTGGCACAAACACATCCGAGCAGGGCTGGCTCATGTCCTGGCTGGCCACTCCTGCCCAGCAGTGATGATCTGGAGCCTAACAAGCCCCAAAGTCCTAAACCTGGTGACTACAGCTTGAGCTGGATACCTGGCAAGGCTTCAGCATGCCATTAAGGGCTTACCTCATCCACCACAAGGTTGCAGTCACTCTTGTCCTCATCACTATCCTGCAAGGGGGAAGAAACCCAGAAAGGTTCAGTTGGGAATGGGAGAGGCTGTACCAAGCTCTGGGCTCTGCCACATGAGACCCCATCTTCTCTTGCACATCACTTCTGGACCAACACACTCTGCAGGCAGTGACAACCCTCTTGTTGCAGGCTCCCCCAGGGCTCATAATTTTCTTCCACTTCATAGGATAACAGCCCTCAGCACCCCAACTGGCACGTAGCTCCAGCAGCCCTCAGGGGCCCCAGCCCCTCTCCAACAGGCAGGTGCACTCACATAGCACCCAGGCAGGTCCTTCTCCTCCTGCTTCTGCTTCAGCCCCGTCTGCTCCTCGTCCTGCAGGCTCTCGGGAGGGGTCGCAGAAACGCTCTGAGCCAGAGAGAGGGAGAGGCAGGAGTGAGGGGCTGGTGAGCAGACAGCACACAACCCCCTGCCAGCACAACCCCCTCTGGAAGAGACCCCCGGAGCTTCTGGCTGTGTCCTGCTGGTGTCCAGCAAACAGGAGCTATCTGTGCAACCACAGCCAGTTTGGGGCAGGACTCCCCTCCCCAACAAAGCTGGTGTCAGGGCTTAGGGGGGAGGCACTGCTCCCCCCTCTGCACAGGTACCTCTGCCATCCCCTTACTGGCATCCCACGCACCCGAGACCAAAACGCATCCGGGGCAGAGACGGAGCTTAGTCTGGTGCTTTAAGCAAGGCTAGGGAAGAGGGAGAGAACAAAACCCTGCCCCAAACCCCACAGCCACAGGCACCCCTTCCCTGGCAGAGCAGAGGGGCAGTGAACAAGGCAGGGGGCACCAGCCGCAGCGGCAGATAAGCCCTGCTGGGCGAGCGCTGGGCAGGACCGGGAGCCGCGGCCGCGCCCGGCACACGGGGCTGCGAAGGCAGGAGCCGAGCCAGAGCAGAGCGAGGCAGCAGCCCCAGCGCCCTGGAGAGCAGGTCCGCCCCTCCGGACGATAACAGGGCACGGCGGAGTGGAAAATCCCCATCGGAGACGTGTTTATTCACTTTAACCCTGCCGCCGCAGGAGCGGGCGGGCTGGGACCAAGAGGGGCAGGTCAGGACGATGCCCCTTCCAGCACCCGCAGGGGTGTCCCACATCCCCTCTCGCCCCCCACGGTCCCTGCTCGGAGGGTGATAACGCAGTTATGGTGCCTGACCCCCCGCAGCCCGCCGGCTCTCCTGAAAGCCAGAGCCACGCCAGGCTGCCCAGTGGCTGCCTTTCCTCCCACAGCAGCCGGGCTCCTGGGCCGGGCCAGTTCCTGGGGCTCACAGATCTTCCCAGGACTGTTTGTGCTGGGGACTGGGGAAAAAACACCCCACCGCTGAGCTCCCAGGTGGTCGATTGTTTCCAGCATAGTAGGATAAAAAGCCTCAGCACATACAACCACGGAGCAAAAAGGCTGTTCCCGGTCCCCTGGGTGATCTCTGGAGGAGGTACTGGGTAGATAGGGGATCACAGGGGTGATCCATCCCTCCCTCCTCCTTTCCCACCTGCTGCAAGCCTACAAAGATCAATGCCAATTGCTCAGCAATGGAAGGACTTGTTAACCCTTCCTTCCCCTGCCTGTACCAGGGGCTGGAGCTCTGCCTTCCTGCATCCATCGAGACTGGGAAGGGAGTCACAGCCCGAGACTTGTGACAGGCTGGGGGGTATCTCAAAAGGGAGGGTGCAGCCAAGGATGGCAAAGGGGCTGACAGCACTGGGCTTAGATAAGACCTGTTCAGTGTTTCTTGAACTGGAAATTCCTTGAAAAGGACAGAGATGGTTATTTAAGGAGCAGCCCTTGACCTTTAGATTCTTGCAAAGATTCTGAATTGAGGTGGCCTAGAACCTTCAGCTACAAAACCCTGCTGCAAACACAGCCCACCTAAAGCAAAGGGAACTGGGGCTACAAGGAGCCTCTTACATTCTCTGCTCAGTCTTACATTCTCTGCTCAGATATTCTCGACTTTCCCACATCCCTACACACACATATTTGCTACTTGGCTGCTCTCAGCCTGCAGGGCCATGCTGTTCAGAAATGGCCCTGTTCAAAAAAATATTACCCCAGAATTCCTCAAATCCAGAGACTTGGCACAGCCTCACGAAGATCCCTGCACTGCCTATGGGAGCAGGTGCCTGGGCTGTGGTGCACAAGGGAACTGCAGGGACCTGCTCTGCCTGCGGAGCTGCCTCCCAGCCCCAGTACAAACCAAACCCCAGTGCCTGCGGCTGCCTTCCTTGTGCTGCAGGGCCACCAGATAGAGAGCAGCTCAGCTACCTCTGAGCTGTTTGCTTTGAAAAGGTCAGGAAACAAAACATTCCTGGAAATCCTACTGTGAGGCTTGCCAAGGGAAGCAGCTGCAGTGCCTGCAGAAGACAGAGCCCCTGTGCCAGCCAGCACTGCCAGCCTGGCTTGGAGATGCCCCAAGCCCAGGCCCACCCTGCCCCGGGCTCCCAGACCCTTCCCAGGAGCCTCCTGCCTGGAGCAGGCTGGAAATGCCAGCAGGACCCTGTGGAGGGGACACTGGTCCACCTGCCCGGCATCATGGCCAGCCTGGGCTGCTGGCACCACTTACCTGGCTCGGGGTGTGCTCTGCAGCACAGGCAGCAGCTGGACAGCGTCGGGGGTCCAAGTCAGGGAGGCAGAGGGGAGGAGAGGGAGAGGCTGTTAATGAGAAGGCTGCACCTCAAGTACCCGGGCAGGGAGGAGAGGGGCAACGTGGGAGGAATCAGCAGGACAGGGGCTGAAAGAAAGGCAAGAAGGCCAGCCAGCTGAGACCTCCTAAATCACACTATTTCCTTAGGAAACTACACTAAAAAGGCTCTGCTCAGAAAACAGGTCGACCTCCCTGGGCTCTGGAAAGAAGTGCCTGGCATTTGCTACAAGCTGAAGCGTGGGGTTGTGGACTGGGGTCTAGTAGCCTTCCCTGGCGGATTTTGACTCCTAACAATCACATCTGGAGAGAACAAGTTTGTTTCAGTCTCCGCTGACAAAAGGAGGCAATTATAAGGAGATGAAGGACCCTC